ATCTTTATCACAATGGCACTTGCGTTTCAGAATTAAACCTGGAATGAATAGGACATTATGGAAATAAGGTTATATAAGGAACGATAATAAACAAATCATAGAATGAAATGTGGAGGAAACAGATAATCCTGAGGAAAGCTGCTAAGCACTTGCTTTATCCACAGGGGTCAACCGGATGTGATCACAAAAAACACATGGGTCAACCGGGATGTGAACCCCGGTCCATACGGTGGCCGGCGCGTTGACTGAGAATAGGTCGTCCACACTGGTGGAACTAGTAAATGTAAAAACATTAAACTTCTTAAATTCAATTTTTTTTGCACTAGCCCTCTTTCCTGTATAACGCAAAATATCGCAATCCTCATTCCGAAGTCCGAACTGTTTCATGTTTTTACACCATTGCTTGCAGGGTTGTTTTCTCTCCAGCTTCATCTTCCGCCGCCTGTTGCTGACGTAACCTCGCGCAGTCGTCCGCCTGATTGTCTCGTATGTGCAACGGCCATCTTGTCCTTCTGTCTGTCTGCCTTGTCCATCAGTCTGCCTTGTGCGTATGTCTGGCTGACTTGTGCGTCGGTCTGTCTTGTACGCTAACCTCTCTGACTTGTCCGTCGATTTAACTGTCGTTTCTGACCGTTTGACCTCTTGTCTGTCCGGTGTTGTCGTTCATTTGTTCGTTTGACCGTGCGTCTGTCCGTGTGACTACTCGTCCCTTCGTTAGAGAGTTCGGGTCTTTTTGATCATTTGGTCTGTCCCTTCGACCGTCCGTCTGTCCGTCCGTCTGCCCGTGCGAACGAGCGCCAGTGCATAAAAGGCGACGCGTGTTTCCGTTTCAATTAGAGGTAATTAGCTGCGGGCGCGGGCCACCGCTGCGCTCCGTGGTGGTAGCGGACGCAATTGACTGTTGTTTCCTCAGGAAGAGAAGACCACGTGGAGGCTCGGCTACACACGCCCCCGCCTTTCAAAACACAGTCATCTTCGTTAAAAGTATGTACTTGAAAAAAAAATGAAGGGGAGAAGAACAATAGTTACGGAAAACGTAAACAGAAAGTCAGGTTAAAAACACCATTCTAAATTGAACTTTGAGTAGTTGTTGCTGCTATTATTATTATTATTATTATTATTATTATTATTATTATTATTATTATTATTATTAAGAAAAAAGTAGACTTTCATGTTTTGTAAACAAAGATGACAGTTTTTGTAACTGCTTGCTCATAAAGCGACCATTGTGTTTTGAACATTGAGGCAACTAAGGGGAACACAAAAGGACAAGATCAACACACAGAGATATCCATATCTGGGGCGAGATTCGATCCCTCGATCCTTCGTTCCGGGGAAAGATGGCGTTATTTTCTTTATCTTTTCAGATTATGTGCTAAGGAAAGATGGGAACAGCAACACCAATAGCAATCGTCAGTTTCGATATCTCTGCCTGTGTAGTGGAAAATATGTATGTGTCTACGGGGAAACCGAATGTTACCAAAAGGGGATAGAAAACACATACTTGGGTTTCCTGGACAATTATTACATAATATATGATGACTTGCGCAATTGAATGGGATAGTTTGATTTTTTGTTTTTATCATTCAAGCGAAGGTCACGAGGTGAAAACGAAGTTTCGAATCCCTGCTTGGAGCCGTTGCCACAGCGGCTATTTGGGAAAATTTGTCGACATTTTTATGTATCTCTATATACTGGAAAGTATCTCCCTTTCAAGCCAACTAGTATCGATACTACTATCAATGAGAGAATAGTATGCTGGTTTGTAGCACATTTGTTTTAACAAGTTTTGAAGAGAGTTCGCTGGGAATTGCTTGATGCAGATGCCACTTGTGGTAATCTTCCTCCTAATTCACACAATCCATCCTATGTATCTTCGCTCTACAACTCGTTATCCATAATACATACTTGATTATGCATCATTTATCACGCAACATCCATCATTAATTACCCATCATTCATCACCAACAACTCAACGCTCAAAGCCGTCACTCATCATTATCCATCATACACTGGATTCCCATCATCCATCGCCCGTAATCCAACACCCATCTATCATAAGTTACCTAATTTCAATCACCCATCATCCACTACACTATCCTTCCATCTAACGCCCATAATCAACCATTCATCCATCACCCATTGACCCCTCACTTATAATTCACCACCCATCAACCATCAACTCCCCCATGATCATTCCCGTCCTGCTCCTATCGCCTATCACTCTTTCCTTCATTCTTTACTTACATTCCACTCCACACTATTCAACCCTTTCGGATCCAAACTTCCAGCAATATATTCATGTCGTTCTTCATCTTGTTCTCCTACCAGAAGCCTTGCGTCATCCCTCTCCTTTGGACGCGGAGGCCATGTCTCGTCTGAACTCCGGCCGGCAGCGCCTTCTCGTCCTCGCGTGTGATTATCCGCCGGGGGACGAACATTCAAAGCGCCTTGCTGAGGGCGCACGCGACCACGCCCACGCCCACACCTCTGTCCACGCCCCCGCTCACGCCCCGCCTTCGCTCCGTCTACGCCCCGCCTTCGCACCGCCTAACCCCTGCCTACTCCCTGCATATACCCCGCCTACGCCCTGCTATCGCCCTACCTAGACCTCGCCTTCGCCTCACCTTCGCTTCCCTCCGCCTACGCCCCGCGTACACCCTACGCTCCGCCTACGCTCCGCTTACGCCCGCTAAACGCCCGCACTCCGTTCTGCCCCCCGTGTCTCCACCTCGCTCAGTCTCCTCCTCTCCGCCCCTCTCCCGCTGTCGGCTTCTCCAAAGCGTCGGCGGATCTTAACCAGAGCGTCGCGCCGGGCCGGGCGCTGGGCGCGTTCGCAGTCGTTCATAAGCCCTCTTACTCGCCGCCCCCGCCCCCGCCCCGCGCTCTGATATTCTCCCCTTCGGCGCCGGTCCGCGCGCTGTGGTTTTTCCCTGCCCTTCTCCCGTTCTGCCACGCCCCCTCTTCTTTCTGACTCCCCTGCGGGCCCGCTCCCTCTTGCGGCGCTCGCTCCTTGTGAATCGCAACCGAGGGTCCGATATGCTTCTTCGTGATTTTTAAGCACCGCACGGGTTGGCGCCGTGTGGAAGGCCCACCCGCGTTGCTCCGTTTCGGCTGTGCCGCATGTTGTGTGTTAACGCTCACACTTAACTGACCCGGGTGTTCGCATAATCTGCGATGATAACGGGATAACGAGGGACGGGAAAGGGAGAGTGCGACTGCCGGATGTAGTGATATAGGGTGGCCGGGGGAGGGTGGTGAGAGGCGGGTGATACCGGGCGAAAGTGGGATACGCCGTGAGATAGTTGTGGTTGAGCGCGGTACTGGGAGATGGCGGACGTCCCTAAGATATGGAACTAAGGTGGGCGGCGATGGGTGGAACCAAGCGGTGGCGGATCTGAATGGTGGGTAGGAGCAGGAAGGGTGAGGGCGATGGAGAATGACAACGTACGAATGTGGGGCAGGCGTGGGCGTCGACCGCCAATGAC